TTATCGTAATCGGGGCTCTGATTTGTAATTCTGTCGTGTCATAAATAACATGTCAATGTCACCCCTCTCGTGCCACTCCCATATAGATGACCCACGCTGAACTGTCCCACCAAACTCAATGACAGGGGGGTGCTACCATCGTTCAACTATATGGTTTCCAACATGGCAAAAATCGGAACCAGCGATCCGGTATTGACGGTGGCGCCCCACTGTCAATGTCTGCTTGCTTAAGTGAAGCAGCAAATCGAATGCACAGCGTTGAATAGAGCTCTGTGACTGGTTCGTATGTCACTCTGCGCGTCCACGCGTACTGTGAGACCTCATAGCAACGCACAGCCCAAACCACTGGACGGATCGGGCTGAAATTTGGCATGCAGGTAGATGTTATGACGTAGGCATCCGCTAAGACAGGATTTTACGCAACTCCACCCCTAAGGGGGTAAAACGGGATCCACGCGTACGAGGCGCCCCTAGATTAATCATAAAAGCTGAATTTATATTAACCTACAGCCAATCTTAACATATTCGTACTCGTGTCACATACCATATTCACATAATAAAACTAAGTCGTAATAAAATTGCATAATAATAATATAATGGCGTGTAAAATGGATTAATGGTCCGATTCAAAGGCACTGCGAGGTATTTTAATATCGAATTAATTATTGTGACTAATACTAATTGACACAGATTGTTATGCGACGAAGCGTACCCTTGAGTTAGGTTTTGATAAGTAATCTAGAAATTGTTTACCTTCACTAATTTATTTCACGGTTTTAATGGTTCATGAATAATGTTTGCCGGTATAGAATTCTGAAAATGTTATCGATAAAGAATTACTACCGGGTAATTATGAAAGTTGTTTTTCATTCGGCGTTTATTCCAATAAATAACTTAGTTTTCCCCATTTTCAGTGCAAAATAATTTTGGAGGCATCTCTGTAAAATTGTGCCTAAGTTACTTTTCCTTTTGTAATTTGGAGGCAGTGATATCATTGTAAATTCTGCCTAGTCCAGAATATATCATTCTTTGACATTTCTTATTATGATGTACCTGTGTTATCACAGAAATCAGAATAATATTATTGACGGGATTGAACCTCCAACTATTGTACAGTCACGGAATGAAAAGGTTCGTCAGTTTTCAAATTGATTCCTTCAACGAATCGCGAGCACATATTACCTTTTGAAACTATGTTACAGAATAATCTCGAGTTAGAGAAAATTAAATAATCTTTAAATGTTCGTCAGTAAAGTACAAAATTATTCAGCTCAAAGTTGTTTGACGATTTATCTTGTCAAGAAGATTATTATGATTGATAAACTAAAACCTTCTTGTTGGTTCAACCTGCCATTATTATTTCTATTAAATAAAAAAAACTATTGTCAATTGGTCAATGTCATCATTGCATTGCACTGATGGGATAAAAAAATAAACAAGCAAAACCTTATTCGTTAGCAAACGTCATATTTATTTAAATGTTAGCAGCACTGTTTCTTGCACGGATATGTTGGCAGGTTTGACTCTTACAGTACCTAGTGCAAGCGAAAACCGACACTAAGGTGACGAACCTTTTCATTCCGCGACGACTGTACCTACTAAAATGTCAAGATGTCGTCTTTCATTTTGTATTACGAGTAGAACTTTGTTCCCGATGCATATTATAGTTTATCTAGATCAATATCATTTATGTGTTTTTCAAATATTTTCCTCACAATCATCTCGATGGTGCCTTATCTATGCGACATAGTATTATAATGTATCACATAAAGTGTACAAGATAATGTTTGATTGTTCACATCACCTTGGGCGTATCAGTAGCACGTAAATAATAATTGGTAATTCTATGTCCAATTAGATGATTGATGTAATCATCGCGCGTTTTGGTTATTTATTATTTACTATTAACTAACATGAATATTCATTTAATTGATTTAAATAATATGTCTACTTATATTCTTCGTCGCCTGTGAACGGTAAAATTGCGTCAGTCTATCCAAATAAGTACAATGTATTTGCGGATAGAAACTTAAGTATTGCTGCCTACTAAAGAAAAATAATATTTTTACTATCATACTAGTAATTTTGAGATGCCGGTTACTTACGGGCCAAAAGCTTCCTCGTTGTGAATTAAAAAACCTTTATTTTATCAAAATGTTAAGTTTCTTCCGGCCTGTCAAATTGAAACAAAAAATATAACTCTTCTTACGACATTACTAATGTTGCGGTTTTGCCGATTCTAAGTAGTGGTTTGTGATTTTAGAGTTTTGGGTTTCTCAAAAAGGTCGCTTTCGAAAATGGGGTTTGTATTCCACACTATCTTGTTCTCTCCGTTCAAAAGTTTTAGAGATATATTTTGCTACCGGTTTCTAGTCATAGAAATAAGTTGAAAATGTACCTTAGCTGTACTTCTAAATCAGTTTATGGAAAACTAGGAATCGTCCACCATAAAAACACCGTTGACAATCATGGTGATTGGCTCGCATTATGTATTTTACGCATCTATTACTGCAGCGCAAACAGATCTGCACAAATTGCTTTGTTGTTCGCAAGAAATGAATATGCACGCATTCACTGAACGGGCATCATTTGAAATTATGTACTAAGGCTGTTGACAGACTTAGCGGTTTTTCCACGGTCCTGCTGCAATTTGCGGACATGTGTATTTCATTTTCCCTACTCATGGACTCATATAATAATATGATCAAGCGATCATATTATATGAGAAAATATTATTGGCAGGTAGCTAATTGCTCATAAGATAGGCCCCCTTAATTGATATTTATTGTCCGTGGTGCATATCTTTTCTTAAAGGTTTGTCACCTGTCATCCGCTTTGCAATGGAGGAAAGTCGAACCTTAATTTTCGAACTCCTATGTTCTTCTGATTAATTTCGTTGCGGATCCAATGACAGTTTAACTTTCCCTCGGGACAAACTTGACCTTCTTTTTTGGGTTTTTATGGCGGTCAAGCAGTAGGTCCTGGCTACACAGGAGGTGCAGTGGTGGGAACGAGAGGTGGGAATATTGAAAAATATGATCGAGCTAGCCTCTACCTAGTTATTTTGTGCTGAATCTGAATAGCATTTAAACTGCGGAAAATATTGGTATAGTGAGTCATTGCTTGAAGTATGGGAGCGGCATGGCAGGGGGATATTGACATTATTATGACGTCTCGCTGATCTTCGACTGTCACAACAAAAACACTTCTAAGCGCTAGCTCTGATCCATCTGTACTTCTGAGGATTTTGGACGAAATAAACAATTTTTATTTCTATAGTCTAAAGTGAGGCATCAATCCTTTTGCGATGGCACGGTAATACTTGATTTAGAAAATCTTATAGCCAATCGTTCGTTTCAGCCAAATGATGTCCACTGCTGGACAAAGGCCTCCCCCAAGATTTTACACAATGAACGGTCCTGCGCTGCCCGCGTCCAGGCTCTTCCCGCGTCCTTTACCAGATCGTCGGTCCACCTAGTAGGAGGCCTGCCCACGCTACGTCTTCCAGCCCGTGGTCGCTACTCGAGAACTTTCCTGCCCCAACGACCATCGTCTTTACGAGCTATGTGTCCCGCCCACTGCCACTGGATTTTAGCAATTCTGCGAGCTATATCAGCCAATATTTTTATTTAATCCTTATGGGAAACACCTGAGCCTTTAGAAAGACACGCTTCTGATTACAATAGAGACGATGAACAGAATTTGTGAATAGTTGTTATGTACAGATTCTCTCTATCATGCCAAACGCTTTCAACGTTAACAACACTTGCAGGCATTCGCCATTGATCGTGGTCGTAATCTGTCTCGGGTGTTTTAAACTTTATTATACTCGTCTCATCATCAATCTATCAAGCAAGGTCTTATTCGTAAGTCAAATACCTTTATATGGATGTCAGACGTGCGATCCTTTCAAGAAATGCAAATTGATCGCCCAAAAAAGTACAGCATGTATTATTAATGACCGTGGAATGTTACAGCATTCTGAATATTTATAATTTAGAGGTAAATGACAATTAAATGGCACTTCACTGATCCGTACTTGGTGTTCGTGTAGTTTTCATTTATTCTGGTGTAAAGTTGAATAAATTATATGACGACTAAAGCATTATGATTGACTGTACAATATAATTTAGGAATACAAAAAAGGTTGCGAAATGTGCGTCCATTGTGCATGTGTCTGGAAAGTAATTTGTCTTGACAATTGCCACCTAAGTTATGCTTAGTGCAAAGGCCATACAAATTGATTTTAAGCATACTTGTTACTTTATACTTGGCAAGAATAAAACAAGCATCCGTAAAATCAATTTTAAAATAAAACTACTTCCGAGGAAGCATTATTCTTCTTCTTCTGCCTTGCCTTATCCTGTTAAGCGGGGTTGGCTTTCCCGATCATGCGCCTGCGCCGACATTTGATTCTTTACGAGGAAGCATTATTTTGAAAAAAAAAATCCTAATGTATTGTATATTTATTCCCTTAAATAATTGAATCCGATAGTTAGAAGGGTACCCAATCGTAATGCGTTCAAAACCGGTTTTATAATTTTTAAAACCCACTAATTGCCGGAAGTTTGTTTCCAATCAATGTATGCCAAGAGCCTATAAAATGAGACATTTCTCTATGTAATAAAATGATTTAAAATCCGTTATCGCATTTTATTAAACATTTGATGTCAATTAAACTTTAGAGAAAAAAAAACCACACACTCTGTTTTTACAACATAAAATACAGCCTATTGATTTGTTTACCAACTTTCTATGTTTATCATAGTTCTATTTTAAGCCTATAGACGCTCATGTTGAAATAAGATGCCCCATTGACACAGCGTGAAAATGATCCATGGCGTATCTCAAATCACATGATTCTAAGCACTCCTTACCTAATACTAAAGCGGCCTGGTATGGACCTTATCTAGAACTGGGCCTTTCCATCGGCCTGCAGTTCCTCACAAGTTAATTCTATTTTTTCCTCAAAAACTAACGTAACATCTCCTTCTTTCCAGTTTCAAAGATGGCAAAGCGACATACGGCACAGACAGTCCGGCGAAAGGCAGACGGGTCCTCTTCTGCGTGCACGGGAACCCCTCGACCGGATGCTGCGCGGTCATCGAGACCAGCGCGGATGGAGACGACCCTGACAGACAGAATGGCAGCATCTCGGAAGTCGAAAGTATGTACAATTTTATTATCACAACATTTTTATTTGCGAGAGTCACCACCTTTTTTCCCACTTCTACAACTCCTGTGTAGCCAGCATCTACAGCTGCAACATAGGCATGTCAAGGCATTTGAAACATGTGAAACGTTTATGTTGGACTATGGATTCTATGAACAGAGTTGAGACAAACCCACACCAGAAAAGGTTCTCTGTTTTGAATTGAACTTCAATGATAGTTTGTCAATAAATCCAATTCGGAATGCTTCTTCTGCCAGTTAATTTCTTCACTGAATGAAATATTCTGACCGAGGTCGCTGGTTATCTGCCTTGTCAGTTAACACTTGCTAAATAGAATCTCGGCAGTAGATATTTTTTAATTTCATATTCAATTTCTCAGGGGTACGGGGCATAATCTTCTTAATACACTCTAATAAACTTTGTCATTGTACGAATTGTCTCAAATACTATCTAGGATGTTTAAATGCGAAATGTATTAAATAAAAATTAGCGATACACAACCACATACAGCTATCTAATTCGCAGTTTACCTGCATTATCTGCTACATTCCAGCAGGATGTCAATAGGATGCACACCGTGTGCCAACATTAAACAATGCATCAGTAATTATAAACTATTGACCTATAACGATGCATAAAGCATAATTTCAGAGACCTGTCGACGCTCGACGGTCTATTGTGCTAATAACATACGTGGGAATTAGTCGATGGATGCGTAAACAAGTTTGAGTCTATGAGAACGCGGTTATTATTTGCTTAAAACAGTTTGATTTTAAAAAGATTTACTCATTAATTTACTTGTATTTAAGGATTCAGTATTAGTCCCCTATTGCATAAATTGATAATGTATTCCGCAAGAAATATAGAAATATAATAAAACGGTGCGGTTTGAATTAATACTTTAATGTTAGAATGAGTTTTCATTATGAAACCGTTCCATTTAACGCATTTTTCTCATTGTCATGCTAGAATAGAGCATGAACGTCACTCATGTCTGACGTTGTCAAAGTTTGTCAACAATTTGGATGTGAACAATGCGATCAAGATCAAAAACGCAATGTACGAAAATTTTATTTAAGCCATTATGCACCTACGATTTGGATTGGATACAAAAAATGCGATGAATGTTGTTTAATAGTATGTTGTGTTGTGGTGCGTACCTACGTGCCGATGCGATCTGAAAACATGACTATGCGGTCTCTGAAAGATACGCTATAGATCAGTGGTTCCCAAACTTATTTAGTCTACTGCCCACTTTGAGAATAAATTATTTTTAGCGCCCCCCATTTTTGTAGTCTAGAGTCGAGCTCAGTCGATGTCTAAGAGTCCTCCTAGTAGATGACGCCTCCCAAGCCTCTACACAACGTCTCGATTTTTTTTCTGGGTCTCTTACCGCCCCCCTTTAAGCCTGTAGCGCCCACAAAGGGGCGTTATCGCCCACTTTGGGAAAGACTGCTCACTATAGATCGTTTCATCCACGAAGACGCGCCCCATCATTCTTCCGCTAATGTTTGAGTGTTATCGGAACCACAGAATAAGTAATAGTACAGGTACAGAAGGATTACTCCGCAAGACGATTTAAATAAATGCGAGTCTTGCTACGACGCGATACAGTGGAATTCAGCTCGCACAGCACTACGTACCTACAATTTTATTCACCTACAAGTTTTGTCTCTTTCTATCGCGTGCCTCTGAACTCTTCTTACGCTGTTAGGGTTGCTGTCTAGTGAAAAAATAATTAATCTACTTATTTGTAATGAGGTACGTATGTAGGTAAGTATGCATTCATTATGGAAAACCTTCATAGTAGGTTAGGTTCCTATACTATCCTAAGAATTATTGATTACCTACATGGCCAACATACCTTTCAGCATCTTTGGGAAGCGAAAAAAAAAGATAAATCCGGTAGATTACTTTTCGAATTTAAACACCCGAACGCCGCACAATATTTCTTTCTCTTTATGTCCATTTTTAAATAATACTTCGATCATAGAATTATGACGCGATACAGTGGAATTCAGCTCGCACAGCACTACGTACCTACAATTTTATTCACCTACAAGTTTTGTCTCTTTCTATCGCGTGCCTCTGAACTCTTCTTACGCTGTTAGGGTTGCTGTCTAGTGAAAAAATAATTAATCTACTTATTTGTAATGAGGTACGTATGTAGGTAAGTATGCATTCATTATGGAAAACCTTCATAGTAGGTTAGGTTCCTATACTATCCTAAGAATTATTGATTACCTACATGGCCAACATACCTTTCAGCATCTTTGGGAAGCGAAAAAAAAAGATAAATCCGGTAGATTACTTTTCGAATTTAAACACCCGAACGCCGCACAATATTTCTTTCTCTTTATGTCCATTTTTAAATAATACTTCGATCATAGAATTATAATCATACTACAACGCACGCCAGCGTCCTGACGAGTGCGCGCGTGACACTCGACTGATATAATACCCGCCGGCGGGGCGCTTCGCTGTAGGTAATTATCGGATGTACCGCGCGGAGTGAGCCAGGCCTGTCGGAACACGCTAAATCATCCATGAGTTCACACGCACACTACAATAATAACGCTCGGATTGCTCGAATCAAACTTCAAACTTCCCACGACCAAAAATTGGTCGGCATCTTCGTGGATGAAACGATCTATAGTGTTCTTGGCGAACCTAAAAACCTTTCAAATTGGCTTAGATAAGCGTGGGTGAAATGGCGTCTCTCCAACACCGCCTCATTTTCATATCCGCAAGCTGACCCCAGGCCATCTATACAGTGTGTCCGGGCTTGTAGTGATCAAACTTTAAGGGCAAAATCTAGGGACAATTTTATCGATAAAAATACTTCAAATTTGGGGCCTGACCCATTTCTCGAAAAATTACATCGATTTAAGTTTTTAATTTTTAGTTTACACCTCTTCTTTAAAAAACAAGTGAAAGCGTGGGTAGCTTAACATTAATAGGCAAATATTTTATATCATGCGATAGCCAATAAAATTATCTATTAGTAGAAAAGAAAACAGACACAAATTTCATACATTTTATGGGAGTAAGAATGGATTGAATTAGAAAAATACATTACTTTTTTCACTTCTTTTTCAGTTATTTTCCAACACATGAAAAACCAGGTCGTTAAGGTATGTTTTATTTGCATTGTATTATTAGTATTTGACTATATATATAAAAGAAAGTCGTGTTAGTTACTCCACTTATAACTCAAGAACGGCTGAACCGATTTAGCTGAAAATTGTCAGGGAGGTAGTTTAGAGCCAGGAGAAGGACATAGGATACTTTTTATCCCGTTCGAAATTAAAAAAAAGTCTGCTTATTTATTGCCATTAAGGCGGAACAAAGTTCGCCGGGTCCGCTAGTACCTTATAAAATCAACATTTCTTTACCTAGTTCACATAGTTTTGGCAACAGCTATTTCTAAATGACTCCATGTTGCGCCCCCGTATTTATGTTTTTATACCTAACTAGCGACCGCCCGCGACTTCGTACGCTTGGACCCCGTTTTACCCCCTTAGGGGTGGAGTTTCGTAAAATCCTTTCTTAGCGGATGCCCACGTCATAACATCTACCTGCATGCAAAATTTCAGCCCAATCCGTCCAGTGGTTTGTTTGGGCTGTGCGTTAATAGATCACTAAGTCAGTCAGTCAGTCACCCTTGAGTTATATGTATAATTTAGATTGGATTCATAGTTCAATACTTGGATAAATCTTTATCTCTATTGGTGATACACTAACACTTTATTGAGATCACCTCGGAGGTGAAAAACATAGGCCGTTTTTTATCACTCTGGGTCATTTGTTCTGCATAGTTTTTATACTAACAAAAACCTTACAATACCTTTGTTTTTGTTTCCAGGGCATTGTCACAGATCGAGAAATGAAGAAATAGACAAGAGAGCGCGTAGAAAATTAATCATAGCCAGTGTATTATGTGTAATATTTATGATAGGAGAAATTGTAGGTGAGTAATTTATTTTTATATTAACACTAGCTGACCCGGCGAACTTTGTTCCGCCTTAATGGCAATAAATAAGCAGACTTTTTTTTAATTTCGAACGGGATAAAAAGTATCCTATGTCCTTCTCCTGGCTCTAAACTACCTCCCTGACAATTTTCAGCTAAATCGGTTCAGCCGTTCTTGAGTTATAAGTGGAGTACTAACACGACTTTCTTTTATATATATAGATTAGAACATAAAACTTTTCCTCAAGTAAGGTGAGGTCAAGCTAAGGAACGAAACTTCGACCGTCCCTCGAGTATGAAACATTGCAAACGACGTGATAGTCGCCATGTGTATTTATTTCATCATTATCCTTTATTGATTCCGTGCTATCCATCCATACTAGAGCTGAGTACTGAGTAGTAGCAGATTTCTCCCAGCAATTCTTCGTCCTGCTATTTGGAAAGCATGCGGCATAACTGCATAAAGACATATCTACAATGTATTTGATGTGTATGCCTTACAATATTGGCATATCGCCTATGCGCATGGAATGTAACTATACAATTTTTATTGGGTTACTATTTCAAGGCGGTTCATTTGTCCAGTTGCACTTGCGGCCTTCTGACCCACTTAACTCATTTCTCGTAGTTGTACACACACTTTACAGTGTCATATTACGGTCTTCGGACATTAAAAAAGTTTTCAGTAACTATAATTTTGCTCCTAAACCATATGGAAAATCTCTTTAAATTCAAGTGATGACAACGAATTTGAGTAAATAAAGTTGATAAAAGTAAAATAATTTTGAGTTTCTGATATCATATCAGCCATTTCTCTGTACATCTTTACAAATCAAGATGTCTCTTTAGAAGATGATGAACGAACACATTGGAAAGGATCGTAGCAAACATCTCCATCAACCGGGTGGTGCCTGGATACGAGCGGCGCAGAACCGGTCTTTGTGGAAATCTTTGAGGGAGGCCTTTTTTCAGCAGTGGGACGTCTTTCGGCTGAAACGAACGAACGAAACATCTCCATCTTAAATTGAAGGTTGATGTTAAGTGAATGCCGTGGTGTAACCATAATATTAATGAAGCATTATAACCAATTCCAGGTGGTTACATATCGAACAGTCTTGCGATAGCCACAGACGCGGCGCATCTACTCACAGACTTCGCTAGCTTCATGATCTCGCTGTTCTCACTATGGGTGGCCAGCAGGCCTGCCACCAGAAGGTAAGGGTTCTAGTAACCACTGGTTATTGTTTCTTAACGAAAATTTTCATTTATCTGGATTTATTCCAAAATTGACATTGTATTTATTTGACATTTAGAATTTAATGTATAATTTATTACTATTTAATTAATTTTTAGTCTGCACTCTGTATTAATTTTAACTGTGGAAACTTTGCTGATTTCTGTCCTATTTTTTGTGTGATTATTTGTCTATATATCGAAATTGTTTGTTTCCCTAATATAAATAAATAAATAAAGTCCCAACCTAGAAGTTTGGTAAAAACACATCGCTTAAGTTTTTCTTAACCTTTCATATACATTGTGCAGTAGTCCAAAATATAAGGTAATAAGTCATTAAACGCTACTAAATTGCTTGAGTACCTTTTACATTTCCGCAAATGTACTTTAGCCTCGGTACCAAACCAAACCACTGTGATTTTTTTTGCAAAATTTCTAAAAATGTCTAAAATACAAATATTTAAATCCCTTGACGTGACTACACGTTAAAACGACGCGCAGTAGTTGCACACACAGGTGCGTGTTATGTGACGTCGCTTTCAGATATTTCCATTCCAATTTTAAATGTTTGTATCTTCATTATAGGCTTATTAGACTACGTGGACAAGCTCACGGACAAAAGCTTGAAAAAATAAAAATAAAATGTCTGTTCCAGGATGTCCTTCGGCTGGTACCGAGCGGAGGTGATTGGTGCTCTGACGTCAGTGCTTCTTATCTGGGTGGTGACGGGCGTGCTGGTGTACATGGCGGTGCAGCGCGTCATCTACAAGCAGTTCGAGATCGACGCCACCGTCATGCTCATCACGTCCGCTGTGGGCGTGGCTGTGAACCTCGTGTGAGTGGCTTCATTACTAAAGCCTGGTCCGTGAGCACGTAGAATTTTGTCCAATGACCCCAAGCTACCCATCCTTATTGCTCGCGCGTAATTATATTGCTGTCGCGACTGTGCGGCCCGCGCCCGGAGTGAGTGTGCGAGCGTAGCTCTCGGACCAGGCTTTACCATTCGCTGAAATTCACTGTTATTCGTTGACGTTCGCCGTCATTTGCCCGACGTTCGCCGTCATTCACCCACGTTCGCCGTCACGCACTGACGTTCGCCGTCATTCGCTGGCGTTCGCCGTTACCTCGAGTATCAGCGCGTCATCTACAAGCACCGTTATTCTCATCACGTCTGCTGTGGGAGTGGCTGTTAACCTTATGTGAGTCACTACTAAAATTCGCCGACATTCACCGTCATTCACCGTCACTCGCTGACGTTCGCCGTCACGTGCTGACATTCGCCGTCACGTGCTGATGTTCGCCGTCATTCGCCGACGTTAGCCGCTACCTCGTTCTTCACGTCTGACTTACTAGGTTAGATCTTGGGGTTGCTCTTTATCTAGCTGTGGTCTACAATGATATCAGCTGTCTTATGGAGGGCTACCCGCTCTAACGTCAGTGCTTCTTATCTGGGTGGTGACGGGCGTGCTGGTGTACATGGCGGTGCAGCGCGTCATCTACAAGCAGTTCGAGATCGACGCCACCGTCATGCTCATCACGTCCGCTGTGGGCGTGGCTGTGAACCTCGTGTGAGTGGCTTCATTACTACCATTCGCCGAAATTCACCGTTATTCGTTTGACGTTTGCCATCATTCGCCGACGCTCGCCGTCATTCACTGACGTTCGCCGTCATTCGCTGGGGTTCGCCGCTACCTCGAGTATCAGCGCGTCATCTACAAGCAGTTCGAGATCCACGCCACCGTCATGCTGTAGGCGTAGCTGTGAACCTCATGTGAGTGGCTATTTACTACTACCGCGACGTTCACTGCCATTCGCTGACGTTTGCCATCATTCGCCGACGTTCGCCGGTACCTCGTTCTTCACGTCTGACTCATTAAGTTAGAATCTTGGAGTCGCTCTCTGTCTAGCTGTGGTCTATGATGATACCGGCTCTCACATAATCTTTTAACATAACTCCACCATAGTTTCCATCGCTTTTTAACTAAATTGTTTATGTTGTTATCCACAGCATGGGGCTGACGTTGCACCAGCACGGGCACAGCCACGGCGGCGGCGGCCATGGACACTCGCACGGCGGCAGCAACCCCGTGCTCAACAACAAGGTACTTTATTCATTAACTAGCGGCCGCCCGCGACTTCGTACGCGTGGATCCCGTTTTACCCCCTTCATCTATCTTACGCCGTTTAGATTTTTTGATACCAATGTTTTTCCCGCTAACTCCCGTTCCCGTGGGAATTTTGCAATATCCTGTTGTAACTAAGCTTTGAGTTTACTAAGGTACCTGCATGCCAAATTTTAAGCGTCTAACTTAAGCAGTTTAGATTTTTCATACAAAAGAATTTTCCCGCTAATTCCCGTGCCCGTGGGAATTCCTAAGTANTAGAAAACTGCGCAGTTTTTAAATTATTTTGGACCTATGGAAATTCTTTTTTTTTCTCATACATTAAAGTTATCGTTAATTTTGTGATTTTTTCAAATTTCATGACGTAGTGGCTTAATTTTTTTTTAATCTTTTTTTTGGGTAGACTTTTCTCAGATTTCTTTTTTTTTACAGATTCTCTATTAGTTGCAGATATTTGAAAAAAATAATCACCTTCCTATCTTTGATGCAAGATACAAAATTTTGCTAGAAACATAAAAAATATTTTTTATGTTTCTAGCAAAATTTTGTATCTTGCATCAAAGGCTAGATAGATGCAGCTAGAGATGGGTAGTGGGTAAAAACCCATTTCACCCGATTGGGTTAAAACTGGGTTAAAACCCATTCTGTTGGGTGAAAACAAAAATAGCGTTTTTTTTAAGTGAGAAGTGGTATTTGTTGCTAAGGGGGGTTCTAGTGTTACGTAATGCAATCTGGGGGGAGAGGAGGTCTTGAAAAACATTACAATGCGTTACAGTGGCGGAAGGGCGGTTCGATTTCAAGTTTTTAAGCAGTAGTACTTTGTAGTTGGTGTTGTTATTTGTAACTTTATACCGTAATATCCTCAAAGAGAGAGTTTGGCATCTTTGGCATCCCCCCCTCCATGTCCTTGCCATGATCACAAATTATTGTGTTCCTACTAAATTTCTTCTAAATCGGTTCAACGATTCTTGAATTATCACCATTTTATAAAATAATCGGTCACATCATCATAACGTGATCAATTTTACGATTTAGCCACGATATCAATGCATATTAGTGTAATAAGTCAAATTTAACTTATTACTTATTAATCAATAAACTTAAATGAGAAAAATTCAATAAAAATAAAGAAAGATACCAATTGAAATAATTATAAAATTATTTGTTTTCACCCGGTGTAAACACCCACGGGTGGAATGAAACGGGTTTTTATTGGGTTTTTACCCTCATGTGGGTTTTTACCTGGGTGGAAACCCATCTCTAGATGCAGCATGTGTCAAAAATTGTATGAAGCCGAGCGTGCCACTTTTTAAACGTCATTAGTGTCATTTTAGCGAATTTTAGTGATTGCCGCAACGTAAAAGTAATCGTATCATCGTACTGCATTCGCAAAGTCATCGAATGATATCGTGTGACTCGATTCAAAAATTAATTAATTCCGATAAAACTGATATTTTGTAAAATTTATAGCTAGTCTGACTGTAGATTAAAATAATTTTGTAGCGGTAGACGTTATTCTACAATTCTACATTATTAATTTGCAAATAATATTTTTGTTGTGCCTAATGTTTATGAAAGTAATGATCGTTATTACATTATGTTAAATAGTACTACTAGTAATTCATACTTAATTCCATACTTTTAAACATCCTAGTAAGTAAATGACCTAGTTTCATAAAAATAAAGACTATTTTACTCAAGCTTTTTATTTTTAATAAATGTAAGAATGCGTAGTTTTGTTTTAACTCTTAAGAGTACATCGCAGGATATGTATTAAAAACAATGCTACTTTATACTTCTTCAACTGCTACTTTATTCTAATTAATTATTTGTTACTTGTGCTGTTAATTACAATTCTCAATCCGTAAATAATTGAATTTTGCAATATCCTGTTGTAACTAAGCTTTGAGTTTACTAAGGTACCTGCATGCCAAATTTTAAGCGTCTAACTTAAGCAGTTTAGATTTTTCATACAAAAGAATTTTCCCGCTAATTCCCGTGCCCGTGGGAATTCCTAAGTATCCTATAACCTGCCCAGGAGTACGAAGAATAATTGTACCAAGTTTCGTTAAAATCCGTTAAGTAGTTTTTGTTTCTATAAGGAACATACAGACAGACAGACAGACAAAAATTTTACTGATTGCATTTTTGGCATCAGTATCGATCACTAATCACCCCCTGATAGTTATTTTGAAAATATATTTCATGTACAGAATTGACCTCTCTACAGATTTATTATAAGTATAGACTAGCTTTTGCCCGCGGCTTCACCCGCGTGAAATTTAGTTTGTCACAGATCTTCATAAATTATAGCCTATGTTATTCTGGGTTATAAACAATAATACTGTAATGTTTCATCAAAATCCGTTCAGTAGTTTTTGCGTGAAAGAGCAACAAACATCCAGACATCCAAACTTTCGCATTTATAATATTAGTAGGATATTAATACTTTTTCTTTACAATCAAGCCTAGATTGTAAACTGTTTGTATACCTATTACAAATAAATAAATATTAATCACTACTATTCGTGTCCTTGAATCGTTGTCATTTCATCAGTTATGCTGTCAATATCTCTAGTTAATAAAAAGAAGTTTTTTTTTTATGTGATAGGAGGCAAACGAGCAGACGTTGGCACCACTGTTGAGTGATAGGACCTTACTCTATTGAGGGTAAATGCGACAGTGCTCCTACAACATCGGTTTAGTGCTCACCAAATGGCACCACTAACAATAAGTTAGGATTGATTTTAGGTTCGGGCAAACCAACGCGATCAGCCGGCGTGCAACGATGGCGATCAATGCATGTCGCAATCACTGCACGCCGGCTGATCGCGTTGGTTTGGCCGAACCTTTATAGCAACCGTAATTATAAAACACTGATAATGAAAAATAAATATTACTTGCGTTTACACTTACAGAAGGACCGTTCGGGCGATTCGGACGCGGAGAGTTCCGCGTCCCACGCGCACGAACACGGAGAGAACATCAACGTGCGCGCCGCCTTCATACACGTGCTCGGGGACTTCTTGCAGAGCTTCGGCGTGCTTATTGCCGCCATTGTTATTTACTTCAAGGTATGTTCTACCAAAATGCTATGCAATGCTATCGCAGAATTACTTCAAGGTAAAAATAGCGCCTAACACAACGAGATAAGGTTCATATTGCGAGAACATCAACGTGCGCGCCGCCTTCATACACGTGCTCGGGGACTTCTTGCAGAGCTTCGGCGTGCTCATTGCCGCCATTGTTATTTACTTCAAGGTATGTTCTACCAAAATGCTATGCAATGCTATCGCAGAATTACTTCAAGGTAAAAATAGCGCCTAACACAACGAGATAAGGTTCATATTGCGAGAACATCAACGTGCGCGCCGCCTTCATACACGTGCTCGGGGACTTCTTGCAGAGCTTCGGCGTGCTCATCGCCGCCATTGTCATCTACTTCAAGGTAAAAATAGCGCCTAAGGCCCAGTTTTTTTATTCATAGTTAAAATAACCAATAGTCAAATTTTGCTACTAATGGTTAAATGTTAACAAAATGTAAAGTAATAGTTAAAAAATGTAGCAAAAGTCAAGCTAACCATTGTTCGAAAAACATTTGTTTCTGATATTTAACCACTTGCCATTTGACATCTGTCAAATTTGACTATTGGTTATTTTAACTACGAATAAAAAACTGGGCCTAAAACAACTAGATAAGGGTCATATTGCGAGAACATCAACGTGCGCGCCGCCTTCAAACACGTGCTCGGGGACTTCTTGCAGAGCTTCAGCGTGCTTATTGCCGCCATTGTTATTTACTTCAAGGTATGTTCTACCAAAATGCTATGCAATGCTATCGCAGAATTACTTCAAGGTAAAAATAGCGCCTAACACAACGAGATAAGGTTCATATTGCGAGAACATCAACGTGCGCGCCGCCTTCATACACGTGCTCGGGGACTTCTTGCAGAGCTTCGGCGTGCTCATTGCCGCCATTGTTATTTACTTCAAGGTATGTAGTATTATTGGTTATCATATTGCGCGGTTTTGTTGTAAAATTGCCCATAAGAAAGCTTTTAAGGTAATACTGACATGGTCTCTGATCGGGCCAATCAAGGTCTTCGTGGAGACGTATGATGTTAATGGGTCGCCGCTAGGCACTGTCGTGTGCCCCGTCGCAAAATTTGGCTACCCTACCGTATCTTAAGGATAAAAAATAAAAATTCAATTGCACTTTATTGCATAGTAGTGAGATTCGTGGTCTACATATAAATGACTAGCTTTCCGCCCGCGGCTTCGCCCGCGTGGAATTTTGTCTGTCACAGAAAAACTTTATCGCGCGCGTCCCTGTTTCAAAAACCGGGATAAAAACTATCCTATGTTCTTTCCCGGGACTCAAACTATCTCTATGCCAAATTTCATCAAAATCGGTTGCGAGGTTTAAGCGGGAAAGCGTAACAGACAGACAGACAGACAGACAGACAGACAGAGTTACTTTCGCATTTATAATATTAGTTGGGATTAGTTGGGATTTTGCAGAATGTTTCTTCTGTTGTGACTATTAGGCCTAGTTTAGATAACTATAAGACAGTTCTCGTACATTGGCATCACGTTTACTGCACAGTTACCGCCTCAGTGCATCGTCAATGAGAACAGAAACGCGCGCGTCTGAACCAGGCTTTAGTTTTAGATATTCTGGGATACAATACACTATTATGCTTGATATACCGTCGTCACAAATCCTCCTAAGCAGTTCTTCGTAGACCGTAGAGCTAAATTAGGGTGAATGCTATAGTAATTACCTATACATATTTATTGGCATATTGGATTGTTAATAAGTAAGAGACAAAAATATTTACTACATTGGACTGCATTTAGCTCAGAAAAAAAAATTGTCCCTTTTCCTCTCTTAATAACTTCCATTAGGCTTGTTTCTTTTTATTTTAGGCAAGTTGGCCAATAACTATGTCTTGGCTAATTACTATAGCGATCACCCTACTCTACTTAAATTGCAAAGTAGCACCTATCTCAACTCCATAAGAACCATACATCTTACCCTTACGTATTTGCAGCCGGAGTGGAACCTGGTAGACCCAATCTGCACGTTCCTGTTCTCAGTGCTGGTTCTCATCACCACTTTCAACATCATTAAGGACACGCTACTCGTGCTCATGGAGGGATCGCCGAGGGGCATCGACTTCCAGGTCAGTAGTATTGAATGGGTGATGAGAGGGTCAGGATGGTGATGAATGGGTGATGAGAAAATTGGGGGTGACCTATTGGTCAATGAGGAGATCCGTAAACGAACCAAAGTCGCTGACATAGCCCGACGGATTAGCAATGGGCAATGGGCAGGGCACATAGTACGCAGAACTGACGGCCGATGGGGCAGAAAGGTTCTGGAATGGAGGCCGCGTACCGGAAAACGCAGCGTGGGACGTCCACCTACAAGGTGGACCGACGACATCGTAAAGGTAGCAGGGAAGCGCTGGACGCAGGCCGCTACCAATCGATCAACATGGAAAGCATTGGGGGAGGCCTATGTTCAGCAGTGGACGTCCTGTGGCTGAAATGATGTTGATGATGATGATGATCTATTGGTGACGAAAGGGTCTGGGGCTGTGATCTATGGGCAATGAGGATCAGGAAGGTGATATTATGGGTGATGAGGGTCAGGAATGTGATATAATGGAACGATGATGGTGATATGATGATGAGAGGGTTAGGATGATGATGAATGGGTGATGAGAGCATCAGAAGGAGGGCTTATTCTTAGGCATGGGATGATAAGGAAGGTGGTTTGTACGCTGCTTGTGATCATGGAGGGCTCGCCGCGAGGCATCGACTTCCAGGTCAGTGGGGATGATGAATGGGTGATGAGACGTCCACCAACAAGGTAGACCGACGACATCGTAAAAAGGTAGCAGGGAAGCGCTGGACGCAGGCCGCTACCAATCGATAAACGTGGAAAGCATTAGGGGAGGCCTATGTTCAGCAGTGGACGTCCTGTGGCTGAAATGATGATGATGATGACCTATTGGTGACGAAAGGGTCGGGGGCTGTGATCTAGGGGCAATGAGGATCAGGAAGGTGATATTATGGATGATGAGGGTCAGGAATGTGATATAATGGAACGATGATGGTGATATGATGATAAGAGGGTTAGGATGATTTTGAATGGGTGATGAGATGATCAAAAGGGGGCTTATTCTTAGGCATGGGTTGAAGAGGAAGGTGGTTTGTACGCTGCTTGTGATTATGTAGGGCTCGCCGAAGGGCATCGACTTCCAGGTCAGTGGGGATGGGTGATGAGAGGTTCAGGGTGGTGAAATATGGGTGATAAGCCTAGGGCTGGATCTGTGGGTGATGTGAGGATTGGGGTGGGGGTTACCTATGGGCGATGAGAGGACGACCGTGGGGTGATGTATGAGTTATAAGAGGTTCAGAGGGTTATTTATGGGTTACGAGAGGCTCAGTGGGATGATCTATGGGTGATGAAAGGATTGGAGTGGGGGCTAGGTGATAAGAATATCAGGGTAGGGCAGGGGTCGGCAACCTTTTTAGTCGGAAGAGCCAAAAATTACTATTTACAAAATTTCAAGTTTTTAAAGAGCCACAAAAATTTTTCTTGCCAACAATAAATAGCCTCTATACTTTCATAAAGTTTGTTGATAAAAAAAGTAATATATTTATTCATAAGAAAAATATCTATTTATTCATATATAAGTAGTGTTTTTCACAACAAATAATCAAATGATAATGAATAAGATAAAAATGAAAACAATTAAACATTTACTTACTTACAACACTAACTTGTAGGAACTTCAACAACAAACAATTGAGCAAACTGCTGAGGTGAAAAGCGAGTATAAGTAGCTGAGAGATATAAGTAATGCCTAAACCTCGTTTATCGTTTCAGAACATTTTTTTTAATAAAATGAATAATATTTGCGAATGGAACTAAAAAGCCGCAGCCTCACATCCAAAGAGCCGCATGTGGCTCGCGAGCCGCAGGTTGCCGACCCCTGGGGTAGGGGATACCTATGGGTGATAAAAGGATCATTGGGTGACTTATGGGTGATGAGAGGATCAGGGGGTGATCTATGAGTGATGAGAAGTTCAGGGGTAGATCTATGGGTGACGAGAGGTTCAGGGCGGTGAAATGTGGATGATGGGAGAATCAAGGAAACAACCTATGGGTGATGAGCGGTTCAGGTTCCCTTTTCTATAGGCCAGACTGCACTTGAACGGAACCGCACACAAAGTGTCATCTTTACATGACGTGGCGCTCACCCCACAAATACGGTCCTACTTTTTAGTTGTCATTATAACTTACTGATAGAACACGTTTCATTACTATGTAGCTCACTAATAATAATGTTTCATATACAGGTTGCTCACTTATAATGTTTCGTTTCCAGGATGTAGCCAACACTTTCCTTTCTCTGCCGGGAGTCGTCCGCATCCACAATCTACGTATGTGGGCGCTTTCGCTGGACAAAACCGCGCTTTCCGCCCATCTCGCCATACGTAAGTATACCTCATTATTGCTATCATTAACATTATGATCATCAAGTCATTTGGTGTCTACTGCAAAATTCGTTCTCTAATTTACCGAAGACATAGCTCGTAGAACTGATGACCGTTCGGGCAGAGAAGAACTCGAAGGATGACCACGACCCGGAAGACGCAGGCTTCCCACTAGGTGGATCGACGATCGGGTGAAGGTCGCGGAAAGTTGTGGAGATCCTTAGTGGATGCTTTTGTCCAGCAGGAGACGGTATTTGGTTGAAACGACCGACAATGGAGGATTTAGGTGTTAGGAAGACCATTATCATTGTGTAATATGTCATAGCTCTCTTTCCCACGTGAAACTTCTGTACTGTCAAGATATACGGCTTAACCGTTAATTAACCTCGGATCATTAAAGGTTGAATAATACCGGGGATACCAGGCAACTGGTGACACCAATAGCCACTAGCTATATCGCAAAAAATACCAGTTCATTGCCACTTCTGCTTGCTTATCATTTTGGCTATTTTGTCCTTCAGACTAGAAACGGATGACATCATCTAGATTTGTAGTCAGCAGTCAGAATTATGTTCACTATTTTATCACCGTGATGCATACAAAAGTGGCCATTTACCAAAACAATAAAATAACATAACCATCACTCGGCTTCCAGGCAACGGCGTGAGCCCTCAGAAGGTTTTAGAACAAGCCACGAGACTAGTTCACGAGAAGTACAACTTCTTCGAGATGACGCTCCAAATCGAAGAGTTCAGCGACGGTATGGAGGCATGCAGCCAGTGCAAGATGCCTCAGGCGTGAGGCACTCCCCAACTTTGCCGGATTATACCACCTCACGTTAAGGTAAAATCAACTTTACACTTTAAGCATACGGTCCATTCTCTATTACAGTCGAAATGATAGACGAAATGGTTTTACACAAATGTGCGGATTTTGCGGAATAGTTGAATTTGATGTTTAGGATTTATTGGTATAAATATTATGATGATATACACAGGAATGTTAGAGAAGTCATTATTATGCTGTTGTCTGTATAAATATGGATTTTACAGAGTATTTAAATAATTCGATATTAAGGGATTATTATAACTATATTATTATAATAATGTTTACAGCCGTGTTCGGGGAGTTCTTACTATTTTTATACATATATGTAATATTTGAAATATTATGTATTTTTGTCTACTTTATGTAATCGTATTGTAAAATACTACTATGGTATATAAATCCCTCACAATCCATTACCAGCACCGCATATTTCCATTTTGTTATTAGTCGTAGAAACTTTAAGTTGGTAATATTTTATTTATTTATTTATGCTTTGCCTACTACAACCAGTTATATGAATAATAATATGAAAATACATAGATACAAGCTGAAATACTATGTATGAATATACTGAAGCTTATAAATGTTTCTCTCTAAAATTGATTGCGTATTTTTGTCCATCAGATTTCACATAAAATAAAATTTAAAATACGCTGTCTAAATAAAAAGAACAGTTCACAATTATTTATTTAAATGAAAAAATACTTGTGATATTAAAATATCAAACCGAATTTATCAAAAGGCCCGTATCTACAAATAACACTATAAAATCGACACAAAGATTCAGGCCTTTTTTGTGTCTTTTATAGTACGGGTCTTTGTATCTATGTAGATATATTACGTAGCCTAATATTTCTTACGGTAACTAAAGGCATTACTCAAAAGGTAACCCGACCGTAACTTATGTACTTAGTTGATAGTAAACGTAGTATTTATGATTGAGTATTCTAATTACTAGCTATTTAGTAAATAGTAAATATATACAATTTACTATATTGTTTTCATTCCATTAAAAAAGACAATACTTTTAAATGGATTTTATAATCGAGAGATTATTCAAGAATTATATCGATGCGTACTCACATGCAGTATAACTTTCGATAAATCGTATTATTAATAATATTAATAAGAAAGCAATATACAAAAGTGCAATTCAATTATTATTTTTCATATTTTTGGAGAATATGTACAAAATTATACATACCTTGTTTTTCCTCTTTAACTGTTAAACTGGCATTGCCAGAAAGTTTCTATATTGCTTTTAGACCTTAAGACAGAGCATTATAGTTGAAAATAAAAATAATTTCGATTTAAACTTATACAAATTCAATAACTAAAGCAATACCTATTATGTGTCACTATGTGCCTTATTTTAATGTTAGATTTCAATTATTTTACTCGTATTTTTTAAATAAATAGAAAATTTTCGATAGCTGAAACGGCTATTTAGCAAAATAAATAGAAATTTAAGTCTTTATTTTCCATGCACTTGCACTTCTATTCTATAATAAATATGATGTTCCTAAAAACATAAAACGAAAGCAAACATTTTCATGTTAACTAAGTATTAATATTATTGGTCTAGAAAATGATTTTGCTATCAAAAATAGAAATTATGATTAAAAACTGCATGTATTTATATAAATAATTTAAGTATTCTTGAATATTTTGTAGATATTAGTGGAAATAGTTCACTTTAAGGTCCAGCCAAAGTATCGCGCACGCGGGCAGTACGCGTTAGTTTGGCTGAACCATTAGTGATGAAATGGAGTAATTTCGCTGTTTTCTTTTTGAAATGATATCAAATGTATGATATTATTAATAAGTGTCCTTATTGTTAGTGGTCTTCCAAATATTGATAGACGTAAGTGATGATCGTGTCAATGTATTTTGAAATGAAATTATATATTTTGGAATTATTCACTTTGTGTTTTTATTTATTTATTTATATTATTTTTAAATAACATTATTTGGTGGCAGGGAGAGTAGTTGGTGTATGTTGCATAGAATATTTATTGAGGAATGTCGAGTACAAAATCAGGTAAAGAGCAATGGGAAAATAAAATCATCATTAGGTCAATAATGAGGGCTATCGTTTTAGCGCTCACCAGTTAGCGCCACTGTAGAGTAAGGTCCTGTCACTTGCTAGTAGCGAAGACAGTGGCGCTAACTTGTGAGCGCTAAAGTGGTAGGAGGACTATCGCATTTGCACTCATCAAAATGGCGCCACTGTAGAGTAAGGTCCTGTCAATCGCCAGAGGTGCCAACTGTTAAGTATAAAAACGATAGCCCTCATTCTCCACTGCAGGAGGACGGCCCTCTCTAATTTACCAGAGACAATGGAGGATTAGGCTATGGCGATTATCACACTGCACCGCGCTCCGCCGCGGTACGCGGGACGAGAGATTTAATCATTGTATGCAAGTACAGTCGCGGAATGAAAAGGTTCGTCACCTTAGTGTCGGTTTTCGCTTGCACTAGGTACTGTAAAAGTCAAACTTGCCAACATAACCGTGCAAGAAACAGTGCTGCTAACATTAAATAAATATGACGTTTGCTAACGAATAAGGTTTTGCTTGTTTATATTTCTATCCCATCAGTGCAATGTTACAAAATGTAGTTTTTATTTATTTAATAGCTAATGGCAGGTTGAACCAACAAGAAGGTTTTAGTTTATCAATCATAATAATCTTCTTGACAAGTTAAATCGTCCAACAACTTTGATCTGAATAATTTTGAACTTTACTGACGAACAGTTAAAGATTATTTTCTCTTACTTGAGATGATTCTGTAACATAGTTTCAAAAGGTAATATGTGCTCGCGATTCGTTGAAGGAATCAATTTGAAAACTGACGAACCTTTTCATTCCGTGACTGTACCTCAGTTTGTATAGAAAACACGCGCGGCACAACACACTGCGGTGCAGTGTGATAAAATCATTTATGACTAGGGAGAAGTGAGAAATATGCCAATATAAGTACCGATATCGAAGACAACAATGACCTGACCTTTTTGTCTTTTTATCCGACGGCGCCAGAAGGAGGGTTATGTTTTTCTTTTTAACTTACATACTTCATAGACTTTTATACCCTTAGGCCTGGTTTCCACCAAAGCGGAGCGGAGCGGAAAAGTTTCGAGCTGTCAAATTTTTCTATAGAATTTGACAGCGGCCTCGGCGCGGTGAAGTGGACATAATGAGGGTTTTCGCGATTGAAAAATCCGCCAGATGGCAATACGTAGACGCGAGGTCCAAATGCTGCATGATTGGTTATTTTTGACATGACATTGACAGATATCAAAATCAACCAATCACGCAGCAGTCAGACCCTACATCCACGTCCCGCCATCTGGCGGATTTTACAATCGCGAAAACCCTCATTGGTTATTCAAAACACTTCTCCGCTCCGCTCTGCTCCGCCTTGATGGAAACCGGGCCTTAACTAAAGCCCGCTCTGTGAGCACGTAGAATGTTGTCCAATGACCCCAAGCTACCCATCCTTATCGCTCGCGCGTAATTATATTGCTGTCGCGACTGTGCGACGGGCGCCCGCAGTGAGTGTGCGAGCGCGATAGCAACATAATTACGCGCGAGCAATAAGGATGGGTAGCTTGGGTCATTGGACAAAATTCTACGTGCTCACGGACCAGACTATAGTCAGTGGTTAAATAGGTCATGTCTGGCATCAACGAAAACAAAACACTGTCGGCACTCGGCAGTATCTTTTTAATCAAATAAAGGCGCATAGTAGAAGTAAAACGGCAGGTAGTCGCCTACCAGGAAGTTTGGCAGGCAGCGGGAGGAGGTCACCTCACTGAAGTATGCCGCCGATTTTCGTGCGCGCCTCTCACGTTGCGGCGATGTGTAATCCACCTCGTATAGGCCGAAGCGTTCGCTGGAATGGAATGGGTTATCAAGACAGTGTTTAGCTAGACCAGTCTTTCACAAAGTGGGCGATAACGCCCCCTTGTGGGCGCTGCAGGCTTAAAGGGGGGCGGTACGAGACCCAGAAAAAAAATCGGGACGTTGTGTAGAGGCTTGGGAGGCGTCATCTACTAGGAGGACTCTTAGAAACCGACTGAGCTCGACTCTTGACTACAAAAATGGGGGGCGCTAAAAATAATTTATTCTCAAAGTGGGCAGTAGACTAAATAAGTTTGGGAACCGCTGAGCTAGACTGTTAGGCGACTAGAAACTGTTTGCTTTCTTAGAAACACACACCAGTGCTTAACTCACTCAATGCCTGAGGTTTTGTAACGTCAAACGTCAGTGAGATTTCGGATCTTCAGATTTGTTGTCCAACTACAACGAACCGTCCCATCAGTGACATTGAAAGGGGGGCGCCACTTTCAATACCGGATCGCTGGTTCCGATTTTTGCCATGTTGGAAACTAAAGTTGAACGATGGTGGCGCCTCCCTGTCAATGAGTTTGGGACAGTTTTGTGTAGTTCATCTATACAGGGTGGAAACGATAAGTGATCTCACTCGATTATTTCTAAACTATACAAGATATCGAAAAACTGGTTACTGATCCTGAAAGTGCTTCACAAGCTCTTTCAAACGGTACCAATAATAGCTTACAGAATAAATTGGATCCATTGCCATCTTCCACACATTTAGTATTATGACAGACATGGCACTCATCTCTTGATATATTATAGCAAGTAAAGCCTAAAACAAATATTTTCCACAGATAATTTTAAATAAGATGCGAGTTTATCTAACCGACTTTTTAAATTTATTAGTTAACAAAAAATAAATTACACTTCTAATATTGTGTGGTTGGCATACATTTAGTATGGAAGCTGGAAACATTGAATTTTCGGATAGTTCCAGTTTATTATGTAACCCATTAATTGGTACAGTTTGAAAGAACTTGTGAAGCACTTTCAGGATCAGTAACCAGTTATTCGATATATTGTACCTATAGTTTAGGAATAATCGAGTGAGATCACTTATCGTTTCCACCCTGTATAATATGCTCTGTCACGTCATATAAATGTCAATGTCATCCCTTCCGTGCCGCTCCTATACCTCTGGCACTGATTAAGTTAAACGCTCGAGTTGTAGAAAATACTTGATGATCCCCACTGGTGAGGTTTTCGGGGAATCTTTATCGTTTATAAACATACCTGAATAAACCTATGGGATGAGATAATACGGCATAGTGTAATTTAGAATAGTATAAGAATGCTTACGAATAACCACGCATCCACTCGAAGTTGTCTATGAGGCTCCAGTAAGTATACGCGAACACGCTGCATTTGTCTCTGGTTATCGCTGCGTGGACGGCACGGAGGTATCTGGAAATTTAAGACAATTTTAATGTGAATCAAATCTCTCTACCGTAAACTACTTATAGGTATCAATTACCCTTATCGCATTTAGGTTCTCAAAACAAAAATAACTTTTAGTTGTCTACCTACAGGTACTGGAAAGATAAAAATAGGTGAGCAGCGATCATGCAAAGATTCAGCCTTTCGGCGATTGCAACTTACCCGTCTAAAGCCTGGTCCGTAAGCACGTAGAAATTTGTCCAATGACCCCAAGAATTTTGTCGCGACTGTGCGACGCGCGCCCGCAGTGAGTGTGCGAGCGCGACAGCAACATAATTACGCGCGAGCGATAAGGATGGGTATCTTGGGGTCATTGGACAAAATTCTACGTGCTCATGGACCAGGCTTTAGCCAGTAGAGTATAGGCCAAATTCTCCATTTGCCTCTGGTAAATGGAGCGTCCTGCTCTTGCAGTGGAGACTTAACTAACACCCGTATTCATAAACGATGCTTGCTTAAGTGAAGCAGCAACACTATGCGAAGTCAAACGCACAACGTTGAATATAGCTCTTTGATTGGTTCGTGTGTGTCAAGCCAGGCGTGTTCATCTCCGCGAGTTTACATCGAAAACAAAACACGCACGATGGCCCACCTACAGGATACTATTCGACAAGGCCTCACGTACGAGCGAGCATTGACTCACGCACGCGTATTCTTGTGTATGATGGAAAAAATAAAGAAAAAAATAATCTTTTCTTTATTTTTTCCACTATTTTTTACTTAACTATACTTAAATATAACACTATTTTTTATTTAACTGCCTAAATAATAATAAAAACACAGAATGTACTTTTTTAAGTTGCCTGAAGACACTGAAAGGTAAATAAGTAGTTAATATTTTTCATGATAATTCGTGCTAAATCATGTATTTTCTCCGCCATTTTCTGCAGTTTGGTACCTCACGTCACCGAAGTCAGCCCTATAGCTTCGGCGCAGTACCGATCACTGACGTTTGTCAACAAAATGGTGCTTGACTCTTGAGACAAACTAAATTACACCATATTGTTAATGACATTGAGCATACATTTTTTTAAATAGGTACCTTCGCGAAGTAAAACTTCTGTACGTACTTATTATTATTCTGTGGTCAAGCCGCCACTCAATTATTGTCTATGAATATGTTTTTAGGACTCTGTATGCGTCCACGCACACTGTGAGACCTTGATAATGTTTGTGAATACGGGTGTAAATGACCTAATGTTGATGATAAACTTACCCGTCAATATAGTTGATGCGTTCGATATCGGTAAGACCTGGCTCCGATGATATCCCATTCTCGGTGATCAATACTGGTGGGTTGTTATACGTGTTCTTCACCCAGTTGAGAACCTTACGCAGACCCCATGGCACTACCTGGAAAAGCATACGTAATCTGCCAATTTGTGCCTTATTACGTTAAATATTAACGTTTATCAAAATTAACTGCCGGAAGACCCAAGAGATGCGATATGGAGTGAGGAATTGCACACCATTACGGATTGGTGCAGAGGATGTGGAACGTGTCCACAATTTTACCTACCTCGGGAGCGTCGTGTCAGAGACTGGAGGTACCGAAGAGGACATCACTTCTCGCATTGCCAAGGCTAGAGCCACCTTCGCACAACTTCGCCCCGTATGGCTGTCACGGAAACTGACCCAAAGGGTCAAGATCAAAATTTTCGGGTCCAACGTTAAATCCGTGCTGCTCTATGGGTGTGAAACGTGGAAGGTCACCAAGGTCATCTCGCACCAGCTGCAGGTCTACGTCAACCGCTGCCTTTGCCGAATTCTCGGCATATACTGGCCTGAGAAAATCTCTAACGTCGAGCTATTGGAACGCTGCCACGAAATTCCGATCGACCAGCAGATCAAGCGCCGCAAGTGGAACTGGATTGGCCACACTCTCCGAAGGGATCCCGATTACATCCCCAAGCAGGCTCTGGATTGGAACCCCCAAGGAAAACGCAAACGTGGTCGCCCCAAGCAAACTTGGCGGCGCACTGTGGCAGACGAGGCGAAGAAGATCGGCAAGACTTGGAGCGAGATCAAACACATAGCTCAAGACCGAACGCGATGGAGGACTGTTGTGGACGCCCTCTGCCCCATCTAGGGGACATAGGACCATAAGTCACGTTAAATATAAGAGCGCTTTCACATTAGGGCGTTAGAAGCGCGGCAGCGGCGTTTTTGTAATGTGAAGGGAGGCATCAGCTGTCACATAGTATGAAATTTTCGGCAGCGCGTCTGTCGCGCGTTTGTCGCGCTGCTTAATCGCCTAAATGTGAAAGTGGCCTAAGTGACATCTCCAAATCGTCTGGCATAGCATGGGAATTGGCGAATATAGGCGAAATCCTCCATTTACCGCTGGTGATTTAGGTTCGTGCTCTACCTACTGGAGATTAATGACCTGATGCGATTTTTAATTGGAACATTATTTTACTCGTGCTGAAATTACAGATAAGAGAAATAACGTGCAAGCATTTTGATACAATGATGTCATAATACAATATTGTTGCATCATGTTGGTAAAATGATAACAAAAAGAGAGCTGAAAGGGCATTGTAATAATTACTCGTACAATAATTGTAAACAAGCGTATTCTCGACTATAATAAGAACAAAAAACAAAATTACTTTGTTAAAAAGAATCTAGACTTTAGCACGCTTTTACGCAAGTACAATATTGTTTAACATTCAAAAACTTACCCTCAACCAAGTCGAATTAGTCTTAGGCCACTCCTTCTTCTGCGTCAGAACGGACCCCATATCGTCATCAAACGACGGCACCGCCCCCAACTTAGTCTGTCTCATTGTCGCCAAGTACGTCGTATAATGGTTGAGACCGAGGAAGTCCGACGCTCCTTGTATGGTGTTGACCTCTTCGGAAGTGAAGTGGGGTAGGCGGGAACGCGCGAAGTTTTGACGTCGGGAGTTGGCATCGACACGCGCACGCATCACTGGCGGGTAGTCGCCTTGGGACGAGAATATTGGGTGCGCGAACCAGCCGAACTGAAATAATTATATCCTCTCATGTATACTTGGGCTTGGTTGCGCCACCTTATTTTGACCGTAACAGTTACAATAACCGGTGCTTTTTGTATGGAGTTTGACAGATTTTTGACGTTCGTCAAAGTCAGGGTAGGATGGTGCAGCTCAGCCTTGGTAATTAATGGTTTGTTTTTATTTGTATCTTTTCCCTCTTTGTATACCTAGTTATCTTAATAATTTTTATGTAACTCAGTAACCCACTTCCTGGTTGTTTAAACACTGTCCTGTGTTTTTTTTAATTAAATCCGTTTGAGGAATCACTGATCCTGATAATACAGTTTTTTACCTACTAGTTTCCAGTCCAAGTTTTTGTGACACTAAAAATTAAGACTAACCCTAGAGTAACGTAGTTTTACTAATTACTTTACAATGTAAATTACTGGGTTGTTTAAGTGAATAAATATTTATTATTTATTATTATTATAATTAAAGAATCTTATTAAGTGTGAAAGTTTTTCAGTGAAGATGTTACGATAAGTTGTGCGGGCAATCTTAATGCTGTTGCAACTTGTACAGTCAGGGTCAAATAGTTCGTGACACCCAATGTACCCAATGGAGATAAAAAATCCCCCGCGCAGACGCGTTAACAGTGTGTAGTGTGCCGCGCGTGTTTTCTATACAAACTGAGGTATTTGCATACAATGATTAAATGTGTCGTCCCGCGTACCGCGGCGGAGCGCGGCGCAGTGTGATAACCGCCTTACCATTTGTATTAATTGAATAAGGTTGTGTTGCCAACTTTCTATCCATTTACCTAACATCCTGTATAAGGTGGTTTAAAAAATATAGAGGAGAGTCTGAAGGGTCAGTTAAGGGTTTCATATTTGATATTGCTGAGACTGATAATAATGATGACTCAACTTACAAAGAACTGTCTTGTTGTCTCCGCAGCTATCTGGTCTTCCTTAGTCGTGGTGGCAGGTTCAATCCAGGCCAAATCCAGCGTGATGCCCATAAAACCTGCAGCAAAACAAATGTACCTTTATAAGTTAAGTTATAAAGTTGAAAATCGATTGCAGACTGGCAATAACGTAAATTTATTCAACCAAGCAAGGTTCTGGAGTGGAGGCCTCGTACCGGAAAGCGCAGCGTAAGACGTCCACCCATAAAGTGGACCGACGACCTCATAAAGGTAGCGGTAAGGCACTGGATGCAGGCAGCCAGCCACCAACCGGTTATTGTGGAAATCATTAGGGGAGGCCTATGTTCAGCAGCGGACGTCCTATGGCTGAAAATGATGAAGATGATTCTTTCCAAATGCTTTTGGAAGAAAGAAAGAAAGTATTTTGAATACATACTCTTTTGTTTCCTCTTAAATTCTTTCTCGAACATTCTATAGGTCTTCCCATGTGCCCTCAGGACAGTATGGGCGCACATGTAATCTTCAAACCCACTGGATCGGCCGCCTGGAGCGTCGTTGCCTCCATACCCGTCGTGGCAGAAGGTGAGAGGTTCGTTGAAGGTTATCCAGAAGCGGACTGAGTCTCCAAAGTGGTCTAGGAGCACCTAATAAAAGACTTTATTGTGTTAGTTAACGGACTATATTGAAGAATTTGAAGAGGACTTATGAGTCCAGCCAGCCAGAACGAACGATTTTTTGGCAACAAAAATACTGAAGAAATACTAAGATGACACCTTGGACGAATAGGTAAGTAAGTAGTAGGTAAGGCAAAGGTAAGGTCAATGAACACCAATCTAATGGGCGGCTATCAATTTTAGGATTCACTATTGTTTAGGACAATATTAACAAAATGGAGATATGGTTATAGGGATTCTAGGAAGAGTTTTAAGCCAATGACTACGAAATCCAAGTATGGCAACATCACAACGAGCATGGCTGGTTTTAGAATCGCGCTGACCGCTCGCTGATCGTCGGCGCTGACAAATCGAAATGTATAGCTAGTGGCAATCAAATACGGATCTTAGAAGTAAAGAATATTACCCTGGCATAATCCACAAAGTAGTCAGCAGTAATAGGGTTGGTCCACCCGCCCAGGTCTTGCAGCACTTGCGGCAGATCCCAGTGGTACATAGTGACCAGGGGCTCGATTCCGTTGCTGTGAAGCTCCGCAATCAGTTCCTTGTAGTATCTGATGCCGTCCTCGTTGATTTCACTGTAAGGTTATTGGTTATAAAGATCGGTTTTAACCAAATGCTTCATCATCTTCATTTCAGCCATAGGACGTCAACTGTTGAACATAGGCCTCCCCCAATGCTTTCCATGTTGATCGATTGGTAGCGGCCTGCGTCCAGCGCTTCCCTTCTACCTTTATGATGTCGTCGGTCCAAACTACCTATGGATATTAACAATGATAGTTACTTGCTAAGCCCCGAAGGCAGTATCCTCGGCCAGGACATGGAGAAGCGGTAGAAGGCCACGTTCAGGTCCTTCAGCAGAGCCACGTCGGTTTTGTACTGGTGGTAGGAGTCTGCAGCGACGTCGCCGTTGTTGTGGTCAAACACCCTCTCTGGGTGCTCATGGGTGTAGCGGTCCCAGATGCTCTCGCCTTTGCCTGGTGAGAGAATTAAAGGTATTTTATTTGCTTCTAATAAACTACCACGAGGAAGGTCTTGGCTTGGCATGTATCATACCCACAGATCACAGAAACTAAAGGGAGATGTGAAAAGGGGGCGGGGCCGGTGTCGCAGCAATATGCCCAAAAATAGAACATAGCTCGTGACAGCAGCGACGTCACTATGCAAACAGTTTACATTGCTTACGTAGCACTAAAGATTATTCGAACGTTGAGTACTGATACCGCAGTGGATAATGATCACATATTTTGATTATAGCCTGACCAGGAACATAAAAACCCTCGCCATGTTGCGGAAAACTAATGGTACTAATTTCTTTTAATGGCAACAGTAACTGAAAACTTCATTGACATATCACCTTGCATGTCAGTCTATTGCTGTCAAAGTGTAAACAAACTTTATTTTAAATGAGCGCAATTGGTTTTATGAATTAAATTGCTAAAATATTTTTATAGTCGTGAAAGAAAAGTGGTTCACAATGTGTTAAAGTATTTGTCGAAGAGAAATACTAAGGGTTCGGACAATATTTTCATTGAATAATGTTTCCGACAAAGGTTGTCAAATTGACTGACATGTTTATCGTATAGTACAGTCCACTATGAAAATTAGCTGTGGTTTGTTTTAACTACCTATTTTAAAAGGCCACGTTTCCGAGCCATAAGTTATCACTGGTAACACACATTGGTTATACACTCTAGTCTTCAGGCATTGAGGTATTTTGGACGATAAGATGTTGCGTAGTTTCCCGAACGCTGCCCAGCCGAGTTGGATTCGACGATTGACCTCTTTCTCGAAATTGGACCTACCTAGCTGGATCGTTTGTCCGAGGTAGACATACCTACTTGTCGACAATCTCGAGAATTGAGCTTCCAACTGAAACTGGTTAGGGCGCAACATGGACATTCGACATAAGCTTCGTTTTGTCCATGTTCATCCTCAGGCCTACCTGTTGGGAAAATCGATTAAAGTCTTCGAGCATTGTGCCAAGATCTTCCAACGATTCTGCCATGACCACAATATCGTCGGCAAACCGATGTTTACACAGTACCACGATGTACCAAACATTTAAACTTTCAAGTCTCTTACTTTAAAAACCGAGGACTGCAATACAAACTTCTAACCCCCTTTTTAACTCCCATAAGGTTTGAATTTTGCAAAATTTCGTTTTAGTGACTACCTACGTTCTAAAAGGAGGTGTATTCCACTTTGATCACCTGGCTTTGATCAGCCAGGTGATCAAAGTGGACTTACAGCGACAATTTAGTGTCCTTTGAATTCATTCTGTGCCTTTGATCACCCACGGATACGATGTCCTAGGTGAGCCGAGTGGACTCTAGTTAAATTATTATTTTAGTGTCCTTTGATCATCTACAAACAAATCACACCTCCTCTGAATAGTCACATGTCCAATTGTTATACCTACTACATATTTTGTTTTGTAACATTTTTGATATTTTCTAAAAACCGCAATAAACAAATTGGACATGTATGTGACAATTCAGAGGTATAATTTATTTATAGGTGATCAAAGAACACTAAAAAATAATTTAACTGGAGTCCACTTTGATCATCTTGGTGATCAAAGCCAGGTGATCAAAGTGGAATAGACCATTAACCCCTATGAGAACTCTTTTGAGACTTGTAGTTTCTGAGACTTCGTGATGAGTGAGTGAGTCACTTAGTCATTCAATGACCTTTCTTTCTACTCAAATTATACGTAGGTACCTCCTATAGTAATTATAATTAAAATCAAATAAGTAAGTACCTACCAACCTAAGTAATTAAAATAAAGACCCTACCAAAAAATTAACAAATTACATACAGAAAATAAAAACGAAGAAATTCTTATCCTATTTAACTACAATCGCCCACGCGCCCATCCCATTTGTCCGCCGCTGAACCGTACCCTAATATTCATCTCGGTAGATGGCGGCACATAGTAAGAATTTGCAAGGAAGTTTGTAAAAGTCACTAATTAACACTTTGATTTGCTCGTACCTTAATATTCATCTCGGTAGATGGCGGCACATAGTAAGAATTTGCAAGGAAGTTTGTAAAAGTCACTAATTAACACTTTTATTTGCTCGTTTAAACACAGTGAATGATTCAAATAGGTACATACAGTGAATGGTTTAATTACATAAAATATCTTTATTTATTAAATTTTCAAAATTAGGTATTTACGAACAGCGCTATTCATAGCATGTAATATTTAGTTACTAATTTACTAATGATGTCGATAGATGGCGTTTGACAGCTTTGCCTTCATGAATATTTACGTACCTCAAATATGTTTGTCAGGCGCAAGAAGATTTTAACCAATGACGATAGATGGCGCTTTTCCACGTCTTATGAAAATCCCAAATATTTTACGGGACCCTATTTTTTTCCAAAATAAAATTAGGCCTATGTTACTCGTGAGTTATGTAGCTTTCGAATGGTGAAAGAATTTTTAAAATCGGTCCAGTAGTTTTTGAGCCTATCCATTACAACTAAACAAACAAACAAACAAACAAACAAACAAACAAAGTTTTCCTCTTTATAATATTAGTGTAGATTAACCCTACACCTGACGCGTAAAATTGAAAGAGTAAACGGAACCATTACGTGACTGGCGTGATCTAAGTTTTTAGTCTAACCGATTTGACTTACACTTTCCGTTTCGTTTTCGTGTTTCTTCCGAATAGCTTTCTTTGTAACAACAGGCATAAAGATATTAAACCACTCGCTTTCTATATCACGTTTTTCCAACAAAAGGCAACACTAAATCTCGGTTCAGATAACAAGGCGAAAACGTTACGTAAATTTGATATCATAACAGTCATCTTTTGACCAGTCACCGGCTATAGGCGCTTTATTCGGTCGATACAACAAGACCTTGTTAGAGCAAGATAACGTCAGATCGTCGATAAAACCATTGTTTGTTGATACCGGTATTTATTTAAGTTAACAAAAGACGGTTTGAGAAATTAGAACAGTTGTTAATTCGCCTTGGATGCATATCTGGGTAATAATGAAGTTTGATATCATTATGTGACAATCGAGATATAAATAGTAGCCAATTAGAAACCATATTGGGATATTATGCTTTTGCTGTCAGTGCCACTAGATTTTTTTCTTAATTAAAATACTTCTACCTCTCTCTACTAACTTGGAAACTAATATTTAGTAGGTACAAATTTATAACCATGATTTCATAAGTAAATGACTAAAACTTCTCATCAACGAGTAGTATTTTATTGTTTATATTAACACTGATCCCTAAACCGAGGTCACGTGATCCCATCGCATCATAATTCCATGCATTTATACGACGCTAAATAAACTGTCGACGTAGCATCATCAGGCGAATTGAAAAGTGTCTAAAATATTTCGTGACGCGACGAAAACATGAAGCTGTCATTTTAACGTCCGATAGATGGCGTGTGAGCTAACGTAGATAAATCGGTCGGAAGTCTCCGGTACATTGCCTTCCCTAACGACCTGTATGGAATCAGTTTAGGGTTAAAGGTGATTTTGTTCGCCTTCTGTATGTGTGTCTTCACAGCGATAAGGTTTTTAACATAAAGTCGATACTTTTGCTGGAATTTCTTTTTGAGCGAATGGGGAAATATTTTATGGGAGTTTGCAAAATTATGTTTGATGTCATTGGTTTTTCATGTATGTGAATATTAAAAACGCTCGGACTTAAAGTTTATATCAAGTTAAGTCATGATTTCGAATTTCAAAGGTCATGATCTACTAAATAGTTTAAAAATAGGTATGTATTAGGTAAGTACCTATGTATTTTCATGCAATAACTTACATATTAGTTATTAAAAAGGTTAAAAGGACGCCACCGTATTAAATTAATAAATCTACCAATACCTATTATGCTTACAACGTGTTAAAAATGATGAATGTAGATAATCTAAAGATCTAATTATACGCAAGCCAAAATGAAAAATTAGAAATGTCTCTAATAAATCCAAAAACAGTTAACGTCAAAGATAAATTACACATAACTAAGTTTGCTCTACTTTCACACTCCTTAAGTCTGATGACATCATCAAAAATGCTATTAATTAGAAAGCCCCATACATTGTGCAGTGACAATGGACGTAGGATCGAAGATGTTAGGCCGTTATAACGCGTTACCTAGATTAATGTGCTATCGCATGTGAAGAGAGATCTTTGTGGGAACCACTTTCGGATATAGAGTGACGTGTGACACAAGGGCGCTAAAAATGACGAGCGTAGGAATTTGACTGAGTGAAAAATAACTAAACAATGAAACATGAAATGTGTTCATCATCAGTCTCTACTACATGAGGATAATCTCTTTAATTTTACCAGAGGCAAATTGCGAATTTGACCTAAATTCCACACGCTGTCTAGGTGAGTTGCGGATACCTAATTTTCCCTTTCTTTCCCTTATTTGCCTCTTATGACGTCCACGTAGGAGTGATCCTATTCATATCTATACAGGGTGTTAGGTAAATGGGTATATGAGCCGACACTAGCCTATGTTAACATATGCATATAAATGGTATGGTGAAGTCAGAAAATTGATATCATCATTTTAATTATTTTAATTTTCATACAAATCTGATTTTACAAATTTTATTTTGTATGAACATTAAAAAAATTAAAATGGAGATATCAATTTTCTGACTTCACCATACCATTTATATGCATATGTTAACATAGGCTAGTGTCGGCTCATAATATACCCATTTACCTAACACCCTGTATATAAAAAAAACAGTTGAATCTGTGTCACTGTCTCTTTACTCCTGCCATACACATTAATGTGCTGTGCTCCTTGATTTTGATAATACAAGTATAAGCCAGCTTGTTTTATTTAACAATACCTGATACTAATCCGTACAATAAACTACCACTTTCGTATAGAGTTAATGTTAGATGATAACCATCTAAAAACTATACTGAAAACCAACGTTTAAAACACTAGTTCACTAGAAATACCTATGGGCACTGCACATAATTATATGCATTA